CTACCCCTTGAGCCAGTATAGGGGTATTCTAACCTTACCATACCGTTTCTTGGAGCTCTAGTAACAGGAGTCGTCATTATTTAATGTAGTGCCTCTAGGGTGGCGAAAACGGTTCGACAGACGTTAGTTCGTAACGCGTGTCCAGTGTAGGATTCAGAGTCCGCCTCCTGTCGATGTATTAGCGGCGGCGATGACACGTAGCCGTAACAGGTGAACAGAACCACGGTGAGATTCGGGTTACGATACGCGTGGATATGCTTTTATTGCGTGTTACTCATGTAACAAATGATTCCCTGCATTCGTATTGCAGCTGCGGCCTTTTATTGATCCCGTCTAACTATTCTACGCGTCGCCGGCTCTGTCTTCTTCCCTCACGTTCGTCCTTGCCTTGCGTGGATCCACACAGTCTCCCAGGTATCTCCCCGCCGCCGCTCCTAGCTCTACCAGAATGCCGTTCTTCGCCGTTTATTCCCCTCTCCCGTTCGGCTCTGGTTTACACCTACCTGAAAACCCTGTGCTGCTCTATCCTCTCTCTCTGTTTTTCTCCCTCTCCCCGTCTTCCTACCTTAAACCTATCCCTGAATAACTTCCCTCTTTTCTCTTTTGTTCTAGGCTGTTCCTCTCCTTCTTTCTCTTCCTCTTCCTGTTCTTCCTGGACCTGTACCAACTGCCTCTTCTCTTTTCCTCGTTCTCGGCTGCTTCTTCTCCTTCTCCTCTTCTTCCTCTTCTTCCTAGACCTGAAAAGGTAATAACTGCCTCTTCCTCTCTCCCCTCGTTCTCGGCTGCTTCTTCTCCTTCTCCTTCTTCTTCCTTCTCCTCCCTAGACCTGAAAATAACTGCCTGAGCTGCGATTCTGTGCTCCTTATATACCCAGCCGGCCCGCCGATGGCGCAATCGCTGTGCCTGGCCGTACCGTGGTGACTCACCCCGATGTCGCAACCCGAGGCTGGCACGGCCTGTTGCACCATCGTATGCAACTCGCTTCTGAGAAAATATTCCTTGTTTTCGGCCGACAGGCCGCAGCACCAACAGTAAAAAATGGCCGCGCCCAGGTGCCAATGTTTACATGCGGTCTATATTTATGTGCAGTCTATATCTTATCCTCTCTTTAGTCAATATATATGGTTATTATATCTATACCGTGAGTTCAGTCTATTGGTCCCGATCTAGTCTACTACTCCTGTAAGTTAGGCCGATGAAAGTTGATGTCATGGTTCTCGTCAGCACCCGCATCAAATTTTACTCCCGCACCAAAAAACTTCAACACTCACCGCTGACGAAATTCCCGCATCAAAAAGTCCCCATATGAAATTCCCGCCTCAAAAAATCAACAATCTACAGTCAGCACTACATGTATGGAAGACAAACAGTAAAAATTTGAGTAAAAACTGTCAACAAAGAAGTTATGACATTTTTCAATCTTATTTTGCATATGTACATGACCTGATACCCTCACTAATTAAAAGTTCTATTGGTTTGTATATGAAAGATGAATGTTGATCTAAATCCCTCATCAAAATCTCAACAATGCCTGACGAGAACCATGAAATCAACTTTCATCGGCCTTATACACCCCCGAAATCTCCACATTAATATTAGTAATTAAGTTACTATAGTAGTAGTAGTACTTACTAGTAATTATAGTAACATATGTACTTGTAGTATTAGAAGTATTCGTAGGTGTGGATACAATTGTATCACCCTGAGTGAAGACATGTGTACAACGTACCGTCTGTTTACATTTTCGTCCGTTTTCTCGTCCAGGTGAGGAGATTTCGTCCATCGTTCGTCCCGCGTTCGTCCATGTTTGTATATACGTCATTGTCATGTCAACGTCACGCTGACTGGTTGGTGAAACACACGTGACATCTAGAAGCGAACAGCTGATTGTGTTTACATTTACCATTGTCAAGATTAGATAAATAGAGCGTAGCTAGATCAGGGGGGAAGGCAGTTCGATTTGGGGAGTTGGAGAATAAGTAAATAGTAGCAGTTCGATTTGGGGGAGTTGGAGGATAACTAAACAGAGAGAGAGAGAGTTCGATTTGGGGAGTTGGGAGGATATAACTAAATAGTAAGCAGTTCGATTTGGGGAGTTGGCGTATAACTAAAGAGTAAGAGTTCGATACGGTGATAACTAAAGTAAAGAGTGAGATTCGACAGAGAGATAATACATAGGATATATAGTAAGTAAACTGTCTGTATGAACTGTTATAGAACTATAGAGTGAATTCTGTTGTAGATAGTGTAATTCCTTGTACGTTGTTTACATGCTAAATTAAAGATATATATATATATCTTACGTTACCTATACCGGTAACTAAATGTTTCTACTATCTATAGTTTCGTTCTCTATCTCCGCATTGACACCACGGCACATATATAAATTATAGCAATATACACACTCTATCCTACTAGCTGTGTACTTGTGCAGAATGGCATGCGCGCTGTGTCAGTATGGCTCATAGGGTCTATGTCCCCCAGGGTGCTGCCGGAACGTACCCTGGGTACGGTCCGGTATACCGGAACGTACCCTGGTCACTATTTGATATGGTTAGGGTTAGGATTAGGGTTAGGGTTAGTGACGTTCCTCGTCCCAGTACGCCAGAGGAATGCTGCGACGCTAATTCCACTCTGCCGTCGCTATATTCGGTACGGAACACGCCCCGTTTACCCAAATGCATGTATTGTGAATACGTATATTAGTTTGACACATAGGCAAGTTATGTTTCTATATCATTACTTCCCCATATATTGAAACATTAACAAGTTTATTGGAAGTCATACGTTTTAATGTATATTATGTATGTAGACCAGGTACAACGATATACACGGACGAGTGGGCGGCGTACCGCAATTTGCGAGCGAATGGTTTTCGCCATGGAACGGTGAACCATTCAATGCATTTCGTGGATCCCGTGACGGGAGTTCACACGCAGAACGTGGAGGCTATGTGGAGCCAATGCAAGAGAATACTGCGAAGGTTAGTATGCATTTATAAGCTATTCATATGATATTCATTGTGTCTAGGAATAGTGTAATAATGCATCGTTCTCAACAACGTAATCGGAGACCTGTAATAAGCCTAACATTATCACGGATACAACTTTAAGACTGTCTTGGTAATTAATAGGTCACCAACGACGTCCAGGGAGTTGCTACCTTCATACATGAAGGAGTGCATGTGGAGGCTGCGGTATGGGGGCCCGCACGCATTCCACCACATTGTGGAGCATATACGGGACGCCTACCCGTTATGATTGTACGTTTTCGGTGAAATTCGGTTTATGCGGGGGGCATCCTACATGTCTCAGATGGTGTTGCGACCTAAAAATCTTTTGGTTTAACGCAAGATTCGGTTTTGAGCGCGTTTGGGATTCAGAATGTTGGCTGTAATATTATGTACTGTCCAGCGTTATATGAGGTTATCATTGAACATAAAATGTATGAAGCATATTTTTAAACAAAAAAACTATCATGACTACGTTAAAGAAGTGTGAAGTATGTGCAAGCGATGTGTTGTTATTATTGGTGACGTATTAGTATCGATTACATATGTTTTAGTAATAAAAGGCATGTACAGCTAGTTCAAAAAATAAATATATAGCTTTGGTTTTGTGTTACTCTCTTGTTTGCTCCTATTGACAGTATTGTTATGGAATCATATTTTGAAATACCACCAGTTTATAAATTTCACGAGGTTGCATAGTAGGCTGTTACCTTCCAGATGAGACGGGATACTAGAGAAGCGTTGCCGAAAGAAGGTGTTAATCCGAAGTGCTGCGCGATCTTGCGCGCAGTTCCGCGGCAAGGCGCACGCGACCGCGGGAACGTCCTACGACAGTATGCAGCGCTGGCAGCTATGGATCCGTGCGCCGAATGCATAAGGCCTGGCACACGGACATCCATAGCTGCCAGCGAACAGTCCGCAATTTAGTGGGGGACACAAGAGTGGCAGACATTTGAGACGAAGAATAGTGGTTTCACTGTTATAGAAAACTGTAACCGAATAATCTGGTCGTAACCGAGACTCTCAGCGCGAAATGCACAGAAAGACATGTAGAATTCTACATTCGCGGAACCTTTGGCCAGTAAATGGGAAATGGCTGTCCAGAATCAGGGAAACCACCTACGGCGGCGCTCTTCATGACGCTCATGTTTGCGCCCCAACCTGGAAACGTTTTGCAACGTTCCAAATGGCGAGGCTGCGTACAAAGTTGAAAAGCAGGCGCCGTCGCCGCGCCACCTAATAGCTCCATAAGACTGGCACTGGACTGCGGAAGGTGAAGAGGAGTCGCGCTCCTACTCAACCCCCCCGAATGCTCATCTCGTTTAGTGTACCTTCGACTGCTTAATCGGAGGTGGGAGCGAGTCCTAGTATATAGCGCTTATGATGCACCTCGCAACCTCCAGATAAGAGAGTAAGGCCTATCGGCTAGAAACATTCAGTGAATTTGAGGTCGATAAAATAGGATTTTTCGTATTATTAGCATATAATAATTAATTGAAGTCGACGTTCAAGTGCCTGTGTCTAGTATAGGGGTATTCTAACCCTAGCAAAGAGCGTTTCTGAGCTAGTAGTAAGTAGTATGTGGTGCGCTAGCGGACAAACAACTGAGATTTTCCACGTCGCTGTGGTTAGCACGTAGAATATTTTATGTTCGGGGATCAATTTTTCAGCTCTCTACCGGCGAAGGTAGGACAGTGATGGCATGTAGCGGAAAACCCAAGGGAAAAGAACGCAAGTCTTTAGAGTAGTAATTTAACAACATGATGGCTTTATTCATCATATCCGGATAAGCATGAATAAACACAACACTCACCGCAGCGTATCTCGAATATAAGCTATAGATCATACCTAATATAATAATACTTGCTCGGCCAAGCAGTTACGGTACTCATCGTTAGAAAGCGATTACACGTGTTTTACTTCTCTAGCCTATTCATAACAGGTAATTACTGTAGCCGTCTTGTCACTCCCCAGTCGTGTGCTCTCGCGCTCTGCGCGGACTTCGTGGGTTGGCAGCGTGCGCGTCTGCCACTGTCGTGTGAGGGCCATAGCTTCGCTTAGATAGAGGATACCTTCGTCGGCGTCGCGTCCTCTTGTGCGAGGTTTCTCCCTCCGACGGTTTGTGTGCGCTCTGGCTGCGAGCGTAGATACGTCTTCGTTCGTTCTGTCGTTCTTCGTTCGTTCGTCGTTCGTTCGCTCGTTCGTGTCGTTCGTTTGCTCCTGGTCGTTCGTTCGTTCGTTCGTGGCTGCCGAAGACTGACCTGAAATTTCCGCATGGGATCTTGGCTGCTTATATAGGAGCCGCCGCGGTGACGAAGCTAGGATACCGAACGGCAGCCTCCCTGAGTCCGTGCGTGTGTCAGAAAGTGATTGGAGCAACGTCGGTGGCTCTTTGGACCGTTGTCCCCCCCTCGCTTAACAGTGTACGGTGATTTGCACAACCCCGCCGCAATGGGTTGAGTATACGGCACAGAGCGATCGGTAGGGATTTCCCGCTGTGTGGCGCCAGTGCTCGCTGCGCCACTACCTCGTTCCGCGGCGCCGCAGCGCGTGTACGTGATGGTTGCACTCCTAACCTCGCACAATCGGTGCAGGCGAGACACCTCCCCGTCGCGCGCGTGCCCGACGTGAGTTGCGCTCTCCTGCACCGTCCCACCATCGGGCTGCTTAGGGAGCCCCTCCTCCAAGAAAACTCTCCCATTCTCTGTTGCGCGTGTTGGTCTGTTGTATGGACCATCCCCCCCCACCACCTGACCTCTCCACAACTCTTACACCCTTCCCCCGACTAAATCTCCAGCGAGAAAAGAGATAAAAGCTCCAGCAATAAGACTCTAATCCCCCAACCAGTAATGATTACAGAGTAATAAAGAGCTACAAGTAGAGTAAAATCCAGGCTAAGTAGTAAACTAGTAGTAGTACAATAAATAGTAGGTAGTAACAAGAGTCGTCATTATTAGTAAGTTACTAGTAACAGACGTTAGTCCTGATACTACTAGCTCCTCCGATCCTGTAAGTAACCTAGATACATACTACTTAGTATTAGTACTATTACTAGCTATTGTAATTGCTACACAATGACGTGTAAGTAAATAAGAATGATTCGATAGTGTGGAATGTACACAAAGTCTTATGTTTGCATCTACAAGCTATTTCTGCCTATAATATAATCACCTGTAATGAGCCGGTCAAATGCTCACATATAGAGACTGACCGGTGGCGTCGACAGTAATCCAACGACGTCTACACTACCGTCGGGTGTAGCATATGCGATAAAGTAGGCACAAACCGGGTAGCCATTCTAACATGCTATAGGGCATACGGCGTTCGTTGCGAAGCCGTCTATGCGCACGCTGCATATGTAAACTACACATCATCAATCAAGCACAGAACAGAAGAAGAAACGTTGAAAATCCGTTTATTACAGCAAAGAGAAAGCGCGCCGACTATGGCGAACTTACGAAATTAGGAGCATTTCTAAGAATTGAGCTCCTGGTAGTCACACCGATCGTCGAATGCCAGAACTGCTCAACTCAGCGAATTTGTGCTTGCGTTATATACTGTAAAGCCCTGTGTTAAAGTGAAGGAGGGGGACAGCGAGTCGTCCTTAAGCGGATCAAATGGTGACGTGCTTAGACAGCCCAAGTCGTCTGTTCTGCGCCTTCGCGCGGTAGTCAATATCCGGCTGCGAGACGTCGCAGAGATGAGATGGATCACGAACTAGAGAAGCGTTCCTGAAAGGGAGTTGTGATGCCGAACGCTGAGCGCAGACTCTTGTGGCCAGCTCCGCGGCAAGGCGCACGCGACCTAGCGAACGTCGCTACGAGCGAGTATGCAGCGCTGGCAGCTATGTGCGTGGCGCCGACATGACTAGGCCGGCGCGACGCAATGCCATTAGCTGGCCAGCGACCAGTGCCGCATTTTAGGGGGAACAGAGGGCAGACATTTGGGACGTGGAAACTCGGGACTTACTGAAGGGTGGCGTAAGCTAGCGGAAGGGGGGCGGAGCAAAGCTGATTTCGCCGTGGTTTACAAATTCCGGTGTGGTCTAGCGCGTTTACACTATAAGTTCAAAACATAAAAAGTTCCAAACATAAGAAAAATCGAACCATTATTTAATGGCAAATTTTATAGAATAGTGATACGAAATAGTACGGCGATTGTGCGCCCAGTTACGTCTTTCAAATCATACGCTGTTTAAGAATGGCTATTCTCTGCATTTCCCCGGAGCTTCGCCCACTTTAAAAATAGTTCCAGCATTGTGCCAGTGGTATCCTGAGTGTACGAACAAGTTAGTATTTTGATTTTACATTTTCTATCACAGCAGTAAGGCGAAAGTGCAGCATTTCAATACAGCTTACTTCATTAGCATTATATATAGTATCTAATCATTTCCTGAGAGCTTCTTTTTGTATATATAAACAATTAATACATTATATGTAGCTTCTCTATCATCTATGTGACCTTGCCTTATATCATATGCACCCCTAGTCCGCAAATCCAGACGTTATAACTGCGCTTTGCTAAGCTGAGGGTGCGGGTTTATGATGACCCGTCTGCGTCGGCTCGGACTAATGCACCCCTACCACTGGCACTACAATCTGTCACTGTCATTGTCATTGTGAGTATCAGAGACTAGCTAGAGTAAATTGCTTGCTATATAAGCAGGGGTTGTCTACTATAGGGGTACAAGGATAGAGAGCATGGCGAGATTGAGAACTATGTAGCGTAACACATCGGCTTTACTATCACAACCATGCATGCTCTCTACCCTTGAGCCAGTATAGGGGTATTCTAACCTTACCCATACCGTTTCTTGGAGCTCTAGTAACAGGAGTCGTCATTATTAATGTAGTGCCTCTAGGGTGGCCGAAAACGGTTCGACAGACGTTAGTTCGTAACGCGTGTCCAGTGGTAGGATTCAGAGTCCGCTCCTGTCGATGTATTAGGCAGGACGGCGATGACACGTAGCCGATAACAGGTGAACAGAACACGGTGAGATTCGGTTAACGATACGGTGATATAGCTTTTATTGCGTGTTACTAATGTACAAATGATTCCCCTGCATTCGTATATGCAGCGGCCTTTTATTGATCCCGTCTAATATCTACGCGTCGCCGGCTCTGTCTTCTTCCCTCACGTTCGTCCTTGCCTTGCGTGGATCCACACAGTCTCCCAGGTATCTCCCCCGCCGCCGCTCCTAGCTCTACCAGAATGCCGTTCTTCGCCCGTTTTATTCCCCTCTCCCGTTCGGCTCTGGTTTACACCTACCTGAAAAAACCCTGTGCTTCTATCCTCTCTCTCTGTTTCTTCCTCCCTCTCCCCGTCTTCCTACCTATAACCTATCCCTGAAAAATAACTCTCCCTCTTTCTCTTTGTCCTAGGCTGTTCCTCTCCTTCTTTCTCTTCCTCTTCCTGTTCTTCCTGGACCTGTACCTAACTGCCTCTTCCTCTTTCTCCTCGTTCTCGGCTGCTTCTTCTCCTTCTCCTTCTTCTTCCTTCTCCTCCCTAGACCTGAAAATAACTCTCTCTAGCTGCGATTCTGTGCGCCTTATATACTAGCTGGCAGCACCCCCCCCCCCTAAGGCG